CTTTTTTTTTAATTTGTCAGGTTCGAGTTGAACTCGGGTTCACAAGGTCTTAACCTGAGCCTAACCCAAATTGAATTCGAGTTGAGGTTTTTTGACTCAAGCCCAATCAAAGTATTAAAAATCATTGTCCAAACCCTAATTTTTTCGGGTTGAAATCGGGTTATCCAACCCAAATTACACCCCTACTTCAAAGCAATTTCTTTTAATATCGTCGAAAAATTTATGTGTATGGAAAGACAAATGCTTTTGAGTTGAGCATATTTTATAATTTGCAACATTTTGTTTATGTAGCATTGGATTTCGAGGCTCTAATTAACAAAAAATGAATAAGGAACAACAGCACAAGTAGTTTTTAAAAAAAATTGAGAAAGTGTATTAAATAACAGAAGTATTGTCTTTGATTGATATATATAAGTGGATGAATTTCATGTATGTTTTACTAAATTAAGTGACTACTAACTTGGTGAAGATAAACAGGAGCAAAGGCACTTTAGAGGGACAATGAGTTAACTTGAACTTAGCTTTGAAGTTCAAGTTTTTTTTTTTTTTTCCTCAAAAAAACTTTAACTTTGTTGACTTTAACAGTTTAACAGTGTACATGTGAAAATCCCACAGAAAACTAGCGGTCTAGCTTGAGCGGGTAATAAACATTTTGTTACTGGGAGATGAGACGGTCGTCATTTCACCGGACGGTCATATAGATAATCAGAGAGTTGAACATGGTACCACTGGAATCAATGAAGATAATACACCCATAACTGAAAACACAATCCGATTACAATAGGATGAAAACACACCCATAACTAAAATTATGATAATTCATAATTTTAGAAGCCTTTTTTTTTTTCAAACCGAAAAAAACGATGCAACCTTTTAGTAAAAGCCAACACATTTCCAAGGCTACATATGTGAAACCCAAATGAGGCTCTCCCATACAGATATCGATTACACAAAGAACACTTCACTTGCCGAACTTATCCATGCATTCGGAAATCAGGATCATTCAAAAGCCTTTTGTCGTCCAAGGCCAATGAGCTTCCCTGCTGCTGCCAACAATAAAAAGGGAATTGCAAAAAAGAGCAGAAACCAGGCTTCATTGGGCGAGATCGACATTATGCAGCACATGTAGGATCCAAACAGCATCGACACCGTGATCTGTGGCCATGGTTTTAATGGGAATTCATGTAGGAGAAAGATAACCACAGCCAACGACCCAACAAACCCTATGGAATTGAACAACAGGAATGATTGTGTTATGATCGATTCTTGTTTCTTCAGTGGAAGGGTGCTGCCATTTGAAGTGTAGTTATATGAGTAGTGCGCTTTAAATGTGCCATCGGGGGAATGAAGTGCTGCTTGGTAGGTAATTGTTGTAACCATGGTGGCCATCAGCAACAACATATGATGATTTGCCACTCTTATGTAAGGCAAAATACTGCTTTTATCTGTTGTCTTGAACCCCTTCCTTTTGTCATCCTGAGCAGCGTACTGGTTGGTATCACGATTGGCAAGATCTCGGGCTCTCAAGGCTCCAGCTTGATGAAGGATATTGTAAACTTCTACATCAATACTCTGAGAATACTCTAGAACATCTAGGATGTCCAGAGCAGTAAAACCGCCACAACTCATGGCATTCACATCTACCAGTTCACTAGTACTTTGATTGCAGGTGAGTAAAACTTTTAATGTCTGCGAGAAAGATGGGCAAGTGTCAGAACAAGGTAATCTCAATCCTACCAAGTAAAACTAAAGAGATTACATGCATTCAGCTGCAAAGAAACATGGAATCAATAAACAATCTTGTTTCAAATGGAAATTTTCTATATAACACCTAAGCAACATTACTCAGGACCTATGAAACAGATCCCTTCTCAACAGGACTACTTTAAGAATTCCCGAAAGATTTTCATCGTCATCATCAAACATGTCAAACCACCAATTAAAGAAACATGCAACAATCTATAAGAGGAAAAACATGACTTTTAAATGGTTTAGCATTCACGCAAAACATTAAGAACCTGGCAGTTTGAATTGAAGCTAATGCATCAAAATAGATACTCTAAATCTGATTTTATATCTGGGTAAATTGGTAGCTGAGCAAATTAAGATTACTACCAGTTTTTCACAACAAAAGTTGTCTAATTCTATTTTCACAAAGCAGATAGCACTGCAAAACGTAAATTTTGTTATTGGAGAAGATTGAGAACAAATTAGAAAGAAAGAAGTCATTGAGATATTTAGTCTATAATCGAGCAAATAGTTATTGATTGGTCTACCTTGTGCACCATATAAGTGGCCAAAATGAGCCTGCAAAATTGCTTCTCCTAACATTTGGAATATGCAATCAAACAGATGCTATTTGGTTTAATAGGAACAAGGCAAGATTGCAACAAGAGGTCAACCACCCGAATCAAGTAGCATGTTTGCAGGCTTCATATCTTCATCAGTTTCAAGATGCGCTCAGGGGGAATCAGATTCATGGAGTTGTTACTGCTAAGCGGTCTGCTCTCCTTGATCAAGTTCTTACAAGATCAATTTTGATGGGACAATTTTCAAGGATATGGATTCTGCAGGAGTTGTTGTTAGGGATTGCAATGGATGCTATTGCAGGTCAAAGCAGGCTTATACGTGGAGTTAATAAGGCAGATCAGGTGGAAGCTTGGGCTGCCTTCAGTGCTACCAAACTTGATTTGGAGTTGGGTATCAGAAGAATGTAGCTGGAAGGGTATTCAAAGGGGATCATTGATTCTATAGCTACGAGACAAGGAATCTTTTTCAGATACTGGGAACTTTCTTCATCAGATAAATGCTTATGCGGATCAGTTTCCTTCTTTTTCATTATTATGGGTCCGAAGGTTGGCTAATGCGACTAATGGTGTAGCTCATACAATTAACAAGATACGCGTTAAATTGTCAAAGATTCTGTTGTATGGAGAGGGAGCCCACATGAGTTTTTGGTAGCTTCTCTCCAATTTGATGTTTCAAATTCTTGATCAATGAAAATTCTATGGTTTCTTATGAAAAAAAATTATAATTTTGATAGAGTTCGTATAGTTAGAAATTTCCTTCCATCATGGGAACTTATTCAATTAATAATTCTATATTTTTAGAACTATTCTTCTACTCGTCTGTGTGGATTTGGGTATCTTTGTACGGATCTAAGTCATAAAATTTGTACCAACGGACTTTGGCCCAATGGTACTACTTACCCTATGAAGATTGACCTTTGGTCCAATGGTCCTCCTTACACTATGAATATGAAGATTGTGCATTTTTTAGGTCAAGAGTTCAAGTATCCCCTCCCCTCCCAAAAAAAAAAGTCATAAAATTTGCAATATGCAATCAAACAGACGCTATGTCTATTGTCTCCTTATATACTTTGATCCTCAATGATGATTTACTGTTCGCACTTTAGGAGGATGAAGATGATTTTCGTATCCAACAAATAATTGTATAAATAAAAGGGAATAGCAAAAAATTGCCTGGATTTGTTTTCTTGAAGTGGCCAGATGCAGAGGCGTCTTTCCATCGTAATCCTTCCCGTTAATGAGATGGGCGTAGTCTCTATTTCTCTGAATCCATTCCACCAAGAACCTGACTGCTCCAACTTGATTATACAAAACCGCGGTGTGAAGACAGTTCTCCCCTGGTACAGTGACCATTTTCACTTTCTCAGGGCATGCTTCGAGAATTACCTTCAAGGCCTCCACTCTGCCTCTCCTCGCCGCCGCGTGGAGAGGTGTTCCGCCATGCTTGTCCCGTCGAAGACATTCGTTTTTATTAGTCTCTATTAGGGTTCTCAGGGTCTCTAGATCTCCATTGCTGGCTGCCACATGCACTGGAGTGTAGCCATAATATTTTATCTCCTCTTCACATTCAAATCCATCCTTCATTTCAGATAAAATGCCAATCGCGCTATTTACTACTACTCTCTTTTGACGATAAGTATCAAGAATTGCGTTATTCCGGGAGGAGCACTTGTGAGCTTTTTTCTCAGCCTTGCTTTGTTTACAGTCACCAAAGTTTGTCGGAGAATGCACAGTACGCTGCCAAAGCCTTGAAATCGCCCGTAATTCCTTGATCATCGAGGTCCACCAATCCATGTTTATTGTTTCCAAAACATATGCATCGAAATGAGATATAGGAGAGTAAAACTTATCGATCTCCCCAACCTCCTTTTCTTGTGATGCATCTGAACAATCGCCGAAGGGCCGGTCTGAAGCCCTCGATTGCCCAAACAGTAATGGAGTATTATAGTCTCCGACCGATGAGATCTCCGGCGACTCCTCGACATCCACTGGGTAAGACATAATTTCTCAAAAATTGAAGTCTGGAACAGTAACAACAGAAGGACACCAATTTTATCACAACAATCAAACCCTTGATTACTTTTCTTCGGACGGAGAGGAATAGTGTGAACGCAAAAGTCTAATTGGATCCCAAACCCAGGAAAGATTACATAAACGAAACGAACCTCACGATCACCTTGTGAAAACTTCAAACTTCACCAACTCTTCGACGAAAAGTCGTGCAAATTGGGGGCATCCTTATCGTTTAACTTTACTTTACTGTGTCACTTGGTCTTCACGCGGCCAGGTTTTAATAATTTTATTTGGGCTAAATTACACTTGCACACCCTGTGGTTGTTGATAATTGTGAAATATCTTCTAAGTACTGTAGATTATACTGACATTTATGTTAGATTTTACCAAACATCGGCCATTGAAATGTAGACAGCACAATCAGCAATTGGAAAATTATGGTATACAAGATCTATCCTTATCTGAAGTAATCTGCATCCTATGTTTGATTCTCTCTTAAACGTATGGGCGCACACCACTACTATGGAACAATATCTTTTTCCCATGGTCCGCTACCCTCTTGTCAACTTGATAACTCTCTCTCATATTGCATGTGTATATATCTATGTAAGTATATAAATATATTTATTTTAAATTTAGTTACTCTTGCTCGTTGACCTCTATTATCTCTCATCTATCTATATATTTATATATACAAAAATTGTATTACTCACCATTGGGGGGGAAATCACTAGTTGCAATATATTTATCTCTTGTTGGATGCAAGACAACTCTCCATGTTGTTGAATTTTAGGATAGTCGTAGGATTAAGTGGTTAGAGTATCTTCGTAAAAGCCTAAAATACGTGTTAATCGAGGGATGAATAGGCCATTCGAGAGGAATAGTCCATTAATCTAGGGCCTAGCTGGCAAAAAATGGGAAGGTTGCAATTTGGTGTTGATCCATGCAGCTATATGAGGGTTTGCGATTGTTGGTGTATATGATTGTAAAAGGAATTGATCACATGTGATGTAATGTTGTTCAATTGATAGGCACAAGGTTGGAATGGAGGTTCAAAAAAAAAATATTTTTAAAAAAATTTTTGTTTTACCTTTGGCTTTAAATGGTATTGTTTAAGAAAAATACTAAATTGTATGAGCATTTTTCAGTGGTCAACCGTAACATTGACCATCGGAGGAATACCCATGAAATATAAATTCAAAGCAGAAGGGAGTATAATGTAAATATAAAAAATACGATGGGACACCTTGATATTATCAATGACTATAGGATTTATCAATGATATTTGCCATCGTCTTTTTAAGTCTTTCTAAACTTTACCTAATCCCCCGTGTAAACCCTCGGGCACAACACCGTGTTCCGACCCATTTTTCTTCCCACGAAAATTCTCCGAAGGTTGTGATCACAAAGAAGAGGAAAACGTAGAGAGAGAGTGAAATTCAAGCTTTGTGATTGTAATCACTCGCCGGAAAAACATCACACAGTTGTAACAAAAAAGAAACGAACATGGCTCCGGCGATGTCGAAACTTGCCGTTAATGACTCCACTGGTTTTGAACTAAGTCATAGAGATCACTCAAACAGATGGCAAGAACGTTCACCGACGGAGTTTCTTAGTGCCTGCGAGAACGATGTGGTGGAGTTCGTGAGACAGGCAATCCAAAAACGCCCAGAACTCGCAAGGTACACAGACAGCAATGGTTACAGTGGTTTGCACTTCGCTTGTGCAAATGGGAGCATTGAGGTCGTGAAGGAGCTGGTCAAACATGACCCTCAGCTATGTCTTCTGTGGGACGAGCACGGTCGAATTCCACTTCAAATTGCGGCGATCTTCGGAAACATAGAAGTTCTGAAACTGTTAGTCAAGGATTGTCCAGAATCTATTACTTTAGAGTCTGTTGCTTGGGTAACCCTTTTTCGTGAAACTACTTTTCACTTGGCCCTGAAAAACGATCAATGGGATTTCTTTGAAGCGTTGATTACAGAGATTGAGAAGCGCAAGTTGGATCAGGAGGACCTTCTGAACTTAAAGGACAACAATGGCGACACCGTCCTCCATATTGCATCCGATAAGGGGCAAACTCAGGTTTGACTCACTCTAACTCACACATCCATACACACATGAGCTTTTGCACACTGTGATTGAGCCCGAACCATATTTAGATCAGAATCAGATGTACCTGTTTGCCACTGTGCCATTTGTTATCTGTGTTCATTGTGAATAATGAATAGTTCCGTATATGTCAGACTTGAACAATCATCATTGAAATTCTAAATGAGGAATACAACTGTTATATAGATTGTCAGTGTAAGCCACTATTTCTACTGAATTGGTAATGGATCCGATTTAAAGATTCTAAAATTAAAAGAGATTAATTTACTCAGTCTAAATTACTTAGATTTACTTCTATATTTCACACTGCTTGTAAATAGTTTACTACCTAACTTTGGTTATTGAATTATTACACTGACTGATCACTCTAAATTTTTCTTCTTGTTAGCAAATTGATGATAATTTTACATTTTTGTTTTCATTTTTTTAGCAATGATTGATTGATAAATGAGCTTTACATGTTGAATGCAATTCTTGTCAGTTTAGTGTTAAATTTCATAAAATATTCTTTTCAAAATACTTAACTGTGATGCAGATAATAAGTTTGTTGCTCAAGAACAATGCTAGAAAAGGTCCTTTGGTGCAAGTAGACTTCAAGAACAAGAAGGGCTTCACAGCCTCAGACCTTTATTGTCAAACAAGTTCTGGAAGGTATATCCTCCAACTCTTCCATGAAGCTGCAGCACAGCAGAAAGTTCCATTGCAATCCCAATCACCACCACCGAAATCCACTATTATGGACGGGTTGATGCCGGCTAGCATGTCCCTTCAAGCAATGTCTGTGCTTGTGACGGTTTTCATTTTCTTCGCAGGGGCTGCCTATCAAGTTCTTTCGAGTTATGGCAATGTTTACCCACTCCACCAACTGGCTAAAAATGGTACAATCAGTTTTATAGGTATGCTCTCGGATCCAGATTTAATACCAGATGGCTTCTATTTCATTCTATTCAATACGGTGGCGTTTGTCCTAAGCATGGTGGTGATACTGTTGGCAATATGGTTGCTGGACAGCCCATGGTCATTTATTGTTCGAGGAGTTATGCTTGTTCTGGTAAGCACAATATCCTTCGCATATGCAATTATGGTGAAGAGGGTTGTGCCTCACTTCTTAGTGAGTATCATTGGCTCTTTTAAGGTCTCAAGCTTTTTGGCTGTGTGGTTATTTGATCTAGGTTTGATGATCCTTTTATTTGTAGTGGGACTCATAGTTAAAAAGATTGTTAGTAACACCCAACCATAGCACCTCGGTCACTGTTGACCAAAGCATTTGACCTCTGACCCCCGTGCTTGGCTCTAACCTCTGACTCTGTCCTTAGCCTTGGCCTCGGACCTTTGGCATCTAACCACTAACCCCAGTTCTCGATCTCAGCCCTCTAGCATATATCCTCAGACATCTAGCCTATATACTCAGACTTGGACATACCATCAGCCTCAGACTCGGCCTCTGTTGATCTTGGCAACTGCCTTTCTGTCCTCAACTTCAGACATTTGACCTAAGTCCTTGGTCTTAGACGTACCAGTAGCATTGGCATCTCGATGATGGACCTCAGTCTCTTTTGACCTTGGCTTTGATGCTTGTCCTTGACCTCGGGCATCGACCTCTGTTGAATGTTTGTCCTCAACCTCCTCAACCTCGGACCTCGACCTCTGTTGACCTTGGCTTTGCGTTATGTGTCCTCGTCTCTGTTTAGCTTTGCATTATGTGTCATCGTCCTTGGACATCAGCATTTATTGACCTTGGCTTTGATGTTTGTCCATGGCCTCAAATCTCAGCCACTGTTGACATTGACTTTGATGTTTGTCCTTGGCCACGGATCTTGGCCTCCATTGTCTTTGGTTTTGATATTTGTCCTCAGCCTCGGACCTCGACCTTGATGCTTACGGTTGGTGCCGGACCTTAGCCTCTATTGACCTTAGGTTTGATGTTTGTACCCGGCCTTTGTTGATCTTGGCTTTAACGTTGTTCCCAGCCTATGTTGACATCAAGTTCCGGCCTCTATTGACCTAGGCTTTATATGGTATGCTGTATAAAGAGTTGTAAGAAAAAGGATACAGCTATGAGAGAAGATGGTTCATTCTTACCGGCTATACTTTATTCTTAAACTCTTAATTTGTATTCCATGTTTATTTGTATAAACAGATAATATGTGGAGAGAATGTGGTTTACTCCCACGAGTGCTTTCTGTATTGTTAGATTTGGTTGCTTATACATTGATTCTTAAAAGGAGGAGTTCTGTACTGAAGAAACCAAATTTCACTACTGATGAGATGCTTGAAGTAGCAAAGATGAAAAATATAGTTGGAACAATTAGCAGGTACAACTACATGACGGGAAGGGTTAATAGTCTCCAATGCTACAAAGTAAGGTGGTTATTATAACTCATTTTAAGTGGAGTTATTTTTTAAAAAGTAAGATCGATCCTCAAAATATCATTTAACTAGAATAAGTTGCAAATTTATTCTTGTTTCTGGTAATTTTAGTATAAAGTTGGAATAGTCGGACCTAGATTATATTTTCTTTACTAAATTGAGTTGAGAATTCAATTTATTTATACCAATTTTGCATCATAACTAATAGAAACTCAGAGGTCTTGTACTCTGGACTGAACCCAAATTTACAAGATTATATCCTAGACCACCATGCTAGTTTTCCTTATTGGCAAAAGTTACATTAGTCGTATCATGTTATTTTCGTGTTGTGTAATTTTCAGTCATTTTAATTTTAGATCGTGTCATTTTCGTTTGTGTCAGTATTTGTGTTAGTATTTTAAAGTATCCTCTGAAAATGTGGAACTTGTGTCTGAAAACACGGTGAAATGTAAACCAACCAACTAATTTTAAAAAATAGTTATTTTAAATTGCTTTAATTAAAGAAATTAAAATTAATATAGACAACTTGACAGGAAAGGCAATTATTATGTTGACGAAGAATACTCTAAAAATAGAAGCTCAAGAAATTTACAACTTGTTTACAAAATTCAAAGTCTTTTGAATTTATAGTTCACAATCTGACATAACAATAATCAGAATTCACAATAAAAATTCCCCAAAAATCACCATTCCAAGCTTGTCAAACTTTGGCAATCATCAATTCCTAGGGTATTGTGTGTATTGTGTTCACTTTACCAAACTTAGTCTACACAACAAACACGTAAAGAAAAAATCACAACAAACAACCCATGACTGAAGACATTTTGTAACTCACTAAATACGCATGTGAATTGTTCACTCAACATAACACTTTATTTTTTGGGTCACATAAATAAATCAATTTACTAATAACCTGATATTTTTTTCAAAATTTTGACATTATTTCTTTTGAAAATATGAACCTGTATACAGAACTGAAAGATGAACAAAACAACCAAAACAATAAGGAATTTCACATGATAGTTCAAATCTTAGAATGCAAAAGAAAAGGTAAAATTTTAATTATTTTTGCAAAATAATTAAAGAAAGTTACATCAATCTAATCTATAATAATAACCTGCTATTTTTTACAAAATTTCGACAAAATTTTTTTCAAAAATAGGAGACCATGGAAATGTCAACATGTATATGTAACTAATACAATCCCCAAAAATCAAACAACACAACCACAATTGCACATTGTAGTTTGAAATTGAGTTAGTGTCTACCCTTAAAATGTAGTTTTATGTACACCTGAATGCACGATACAGTTTTAGAAACAATTCACAAGTGTATTTAGACTACACATAATATATCCACCATATTATATGTTTACCAAAACAATACATCCAAAATATCACAATTTTTTTTTTTTTTATCAGCTACAGAGTAGACAAATACATCCAAAAGTTGTTGTGGGGTATGAACACGGCGAACCTGCGGAGACAACCAGCGCATAATGAGTATAAACAACCAGCGCATAATCCATTGTGGATTGCCAAATAAGTAATTAAACAACATGTGTTAGTCGTATTTTTTTAAATTATATATGTTTTATATATTTTTTTAGATTAGTTGTCTATATTAATTTTAATTTGTTTAATCACTTACATTGATAAATCCATTGCGGATTGCCAACAATCTATAAAATGTGTTAAACACGACTAACACATTTTGTTTAATTACTTAAACCTACCTAACCCAAATAAATTCATCCACATTCATTAAATTACTAAATGAAAAGTAAAATTGACTCAACCATTCTAATTTAGAAAACTACATTCTATGATCCTAAATATCTCTCTTAACACAACAAACTCAAGTAGTCAACCAAAAAAATAATCTCAAACATAACACCACAACAAAATATTTTTCCACCATTTGTAAGTCAATGTCAATATCAACTCATCAACTTGTGCCAAATGGTATTACATTGTTAACATTTTAACAATGTTATTTTATTGATCAAACGTATTATTTATGTTATTTCATCTATAGAATTGGGATGAAGCAGTACAAGAGTTAAAAAGACTAAATGCAATCCATCTTTTTCGATGGAGTTGTTTGAATAAGATAACTAAATTTATTTTTTATAGTTTATTTTAGATTTTCAAGTTTATAATTTCTATCGTGTACTAAATTTAACTATTTTTGTAAATGCTAGATTGTTGTACATTTTCCCGGTTGGAAGCTACGGATTTAGATTGATACTTCAAGGCTGTGACGAAGAAACTGTTTTTAAAACGATGTGCAGATAAATGAATTTAGTCTATCTGGTGCAATTTAAGCTTGATTATTTTGATTTATTAAGAGTTTTGATTATCAAAGTTAAACAAAACTTTGATGTTTCCTTTTTTATAGATGAACAAGGCTCGGATAATTGATGAACCCATTGATTACCTCAAGTAGCTTCAACTTCAGCTTAAGGTGCAGGTTTGTTGTTTTCTTTTAAAATATTACACTCATGGTTGTGACAATTAAGTCCAATTATTTTTTTTTGCTTTAACTTAAGAGAGAAAGTTGTATCTTCTATTTCTTTTCCTTTACGCTTTGCAGTTACGACTGCTCTTTCCTTTGACTTTTAAATAGTAAGCATAAATAAGTGAAATCATTATATAGAAAAAAAAAGTCTAATCTATAAAAAAAAATAATGTGTCATGACACTACCTAAAAAATGAGAATGCAATTGAGTTCGCGTTCGTCACGGATGACAACACTAACATTATTTTTCTTGAGCAATTGAACTTATACATGAATATGCATTTAACAGGTAAATAAACACAAACTATATGAGATAAAATTATTAAGAATATGAGTGATATGAAACTCATCTTACGGTTTGCTCTAAGTCTTTATCAATCTGTAAAAAGATATGTGAAAATTAAGTGAAATAAATATGTGAATATTTTTCAGTGCCGAAAAAAAAAATTGAAGATGTTTAAACTCACACGACCAAAAATGGTGAGATCTTTCATTTTTCAATATTTATAGTTTGTAGTGGTGGTTAGTACACTATGATGGCTGCAAATATAAGAAACATAGTAAATCAAAAAATTAGAAATATTCGCTACATACACATATTCATATTAATTGACATACAAATACAATCTCTATAATTAATCAAAACCCTATAAAGTTGTGTGGAAAGCCTTAGGTGTGCCTAAGGATAACTGGGGTAGTTTGGATATCACATGGACCGATGCTTAGTTTGAACTACATTTTCTTGTTTAGTTTATGGTGGCTTGAAACACATTTATCTGTAGTATTGTCATTTACATCAACTAAAAATAGGCAAAGGTAGGGTTGGTAACATTCTAATTTTCAGAAAATTTCCAGCTCCTGCATGCAGTCTAATTTTCTTTGTCTCAAAAAAATTACCTTGCGTAGCATTGCCTAAAATTGAATTCTGATTCATTAAGAATGTTCTTCTGTGCAACTGATTTGTTCTTAGCAGCTCTTTATTAAAGGGTTTATGGGATGTGGAGTGTATTTTCGTAACATGAATTCCAACTTTGTGGGTGATCACGTTCACATCAACAATGACCAAAAATAATATATTAGGCATGAAAAAATTTTCTATGCAGTATTTCCATTTATATCAACTAAAGATGGGCAAAGGCCTCCTACATGCAGTTCTAATTTTCTTTTTCTTGATAAAATTACCTTGTGTATGATTGCCTAACATTGAATATATGATCCATTAAGAATGTTCTTCTATGCAACTTATTTGTTCTTTGCAGCTCTCTGTGAAAGGATGTACTATTTGAAGATTCCCGTGAAGACAAATTTCAAAAAAGAGATAGAGAAAACATGACTTCAATAAAATTCATATACCTGAAATTATATACCTAATTAGAAATGGGAAAACTTGAAGGTCTCATATCCCTAGACACACATTAACCCGTGCCTAAAGGCGTTGTCCAATTCAACAGAAGTTTTAATTATTAGATTTACTAAGCTCTACTCTAGATTAATTTGAAAGGCTTTACGTAACACAAAGAATCATACATTCGGGAAAAAAAATAGTGTGATATATATAGGCCTGCATTTTAAATTGCTTCCACATAAAACATGCCAAACTTCGTACATCCATGAAGCATACATTTTAAAACTATATGCATCTGACTAAAAGCTCTTGGTAGTCCCATTGAAAAAATGCTCATGTCTTTTGTTAAGTAAGAAAAGCTTTATTCCACCGTCAAAGTAAACCTATCAAACAAACTCGAGTCAAAGTACAATAATTAATCTTATTAACTTTAAAAATCGAGCAAAAAAATCAAGCACAGACATATATTTGCTTATGATTTTAAAAAGAATGCTTCACGGGTGCTTATTTTTAACAAAAATCATAAGCACATTTTTGAAAATTAATATTTTCAATCGGACACACATATGCACAGACATTAGCATTCCTTAGTTCCTCACCATCCTCTCACCCTATGTTGTGTGCTCATGTATTTGTGTTTGGGTGAGGTTTGTGTGTGTGTTTGCTAGTGTTTGCGAGGGAGAGTGAGAGAGAGCGAGTGAGAGAGGGTGTGTACATGGGAAATTAATACACCACCAAATGAGTATGGTTCTCGACCACTGAATTGTGGGCACTGATCTGGTAATATCCATAGTAGTGTTGGAATGATAACTGATTTTAGAGTAAGGATAATGCAAAAAGTGATTAAAGTAATCAAAATATCCCATGGAAGATTAGAATTTATCTGCCCTTGGAATAAATTAAAATTTTGTGAAAAATAATAATTAAAACTTCGCCTAATTATTCGGATTCAAAAGATACGCAACCAATAAGCTCCAAATGTTTGTCTACCAAATAATCAAAAAACACCCGAGTCTGAAGGCACGGTCCAATA